GTAGCAGCTCACTGACCAGTACTTCACAACAATTACTATACTAAACAAGCCTACACTTGTTTTTTCGACGCGAGTCCTGAAGGTGTCCTAAATATTCAAAACTCCCCTAACAATGATTCTCTCAATTGGCTTGTGCAATGCGCGGCTCAAAGTGGAGCTCCTTGCTGGACTTGCCTTCGCAAATACCGGGTGGTCCAGCTTTGAGAGTACCCCGTGCAACTAGCTATGCGTGCCACTCACTCACCTTTTTTCACCTTAGTATCATCAAATCAAAACTTAGAATACTTTAGGAAATTTTAAAAATCCTAAATGTCCTCATTTCTGATTGGAATGGAGGCAGGCGCTGTGTTAATATTATCGTATTCTTTGTAGAAAGTTACTTGCGAGAAGAAAATAAAATAGAAATATAAATTTTTCGTCAAATTTTCGCTGAATCGTTTATTTGGTTATGGAACTGGCCACAATACGAGGTTGACTTAGAGCTCGACTCGCAACAACCCAAGCCAAGGTTGGTGTGTGTCAAAACGGGGGAGGTGATTCATTACGTTTGTTTATTATTCGATTGTGAACTTAGTGCAAATGCGTCAGATTTACTTTTGTTGGCTCCATTTCAATGCTAGGCTTGAAATGTTCCATCGGCGACACATCACCGCTTTGACGGCCATCATGACCAACCATCATGGAATCATTTCGGTGCGTTCATGCCGCGAGGCACGAGTCTGCGTCCACTACGCGGGATCCATTCGTCACACTTGGCTTGTGTTCCCTGGTAATGGACTTTCACTTCATCTTCCGCGATTTCAACAGCACGGGCTCTACGCCTGCGAAGAACCAGTCAGTTGGTACAAAAAATAAAACACGGAATACAAGATAGGGCTTACCAATTGTGCTCGCAGTCGAGTGCATCAATGTCATCGCCAACATTAACCTGGTTGGCGAACCCATCGAAATCAAACGGTGGTCCACGCGTGCCCGTATGAAGCCGCTCTTCCTTCAGCAAAGGTTCCTCTCGCGTCGTCATCGTAAGTTAGGTTTTGAAGTGACTCTACAATCCATTGCTCTTGACTAGAATCGAGACATGGTAGAGAACTCCCGCCTTAAATCCAACCGCGGTATTGTAGTGGGTGTCGAACTGACACCCACGATGCTGGAAGCTTCAGTAAAACGTTTCTCAGAAGCACCTCTAATTTAGTATCCAAAACCGCGAATACAAATGTTAGATAAATTACGGTGTTATAAGGTAATGTACAGAAAAGAAATATTCGCAGCTACATTTTTTTTCTGGAAACATAGCCGTTTTTTTTTTTGGACGCCACCGAATGATATTCGCGCTGCCTAAATAGCACTGGAATACTGTCGACAGACCGAACGATTCGCTCCAGCATTTCGTCTGTCCCTTCGAACTGCCAACAACCCGGGTCCCCAATTGAACAGTGTCGCTCAAAATGATTGTCAGCGAAGACTTCGTGTTCGCTGAATATTTTCTTCTGATATTCACGTGTCATAAGATCTGTGCTGGCAATAATACTGTAACTTTCTAAAACTGGGTTCGCCCAGGTATCTTTTATTTTTTTTTTATTTCTGGTGTGCCTTACTGTATCTAGAAAGGTACACTGCAGAGCTCACAGTCAGGTACCCGAATCGGTATACCCACGTTCGGGTATGGGGCGGGCACCCGAACCACTCGGGTCCATTTCGGATATCCGAAACGTTTTATTCATTATTATCTAAAAATGTGTTTTCTACTTTTCAATTGAACAAGCAAATAACGCCCCCTCGCTACACCTTTCGAGGCAAGAAAAAGCGTCTCCCCTGCGGGTAAAGACATGGAGACTAGTTGTAGTATGAATGACACCCAAACAGACCTCGGAGAGCAATACGACAGACCAAGCCCATACCAAATTGGAAGACTTGCCAGCCTTCGCCTTCTACATTCAGAGATTTAAAATGGAAGATTAGTCCGATTTCGACAGGATTATTGTACTTCAATACATTCCATTTCGTAAAAGCTACTACAAGTAATGCTGTGCTACATTCCAAACAATCTTCTTTTGAAATTGTAGTGAGCGCAAAAATTATGGGTAACTGTAGTGCAGGTACCCAGAAGTTAGGTTTGGATGGGTGCGGGTACCCGAAAGCCAGTATGAGGGTTTCTAGGGCGGATCGGGTAACCCGAATATCTCCAATTGCGAGTTCCGGTGCACTATGATGAGCGACTGACACACTATTCGTTTCTTTTTTTTT